CAGCAAATAAATAACAGTATTTAAAATGAATAAAAAATTGAACATAAAAGAAAATTGTGAGAGCAAGTAAAGCACAATGTGTAGAATTATGTCCAGTGTGAGTATTATAGTTTAATCTACATGTAGGAACTTCTTGTGCAATTATTCTAGGTCTAATTGTAATATAATTGCATTAATTGTTGTAATTAGAAGCATAATAGTCTACTATGAGTTTGTATTAGATCTAATTTAAACAAAATGAAGAAAATATATTCTTAAATTTATTTAGGTGTACCAAAGAGTAGTACTACTGAAGGAAACAAATTTTGTTTCTCTTTTTTTGAACCACATATACCTACCATATTTGTGATAAAAATTGGTACACTTGAAAGCTTTCCTGTTCAATATCATATAAGTTCAGGAGTCAATGGAATCAATAAAACTAATACAGTTCAATCAGGATCAATCAATACTGAACGGTATCGATATATTCCAGGCAATAATGAGAGTAGACTTGAAGATTCTCAACCACTTATAGTAAACATGACAATAGATTTTTTTAACAGCAGGAATATAAATGACTTCACTGGAATTGAAATTAAAACAATAAATAGTTCACATACAATATCAGTCACCTGTTTCAGTAGGAGTATAGGTAGTTACTACTATACTGCAGTGCCAGTGCATGATAGTTTTGTAGCAGTTCCTCTATTTAATGTGGGATCAATTACTCAACAGTATAACTACTCTATTTTTAATGATTATGTTGATCATTATACTGATTCACAAACAGTAGCAGCAATTGTGGTTTGTGATACAATTGAAGCTGGAGGAGTATCGCTTACTTATTCTAACAATTCAATTCCTGGAGATTACTTTGGGACTTATGATCAACATGGAGTTCGTTCATCACAAATTAAGTTTGAAAAGTACTACACTCCTTCTATTTCTTCTTTGCCACCTGGTACTGATGTTTATGCCATTCAACCTATTGGCTTCATGATTGGCCATGCATGTGTTTCTGGCTACACACGTTTCTGTGATTATCTCATTGAACAAGTACCTCCATCATATACTTGGGGATACAACTTTTTGATAGGGGCATTTAGACCTGCCCTTATAGAATACGAAACTACATTTGTAAAATTTTTCCCTGGTAGAGAAATTGGTACTAATTTTAAAATATTTTGTGCTAATAGTTCTTCGGTGACCATAAATGTACTAGTTCAAAATTTCACAAAAACAGATCATATGGTTTCAAGTAGGGGTATTTTTAACATTGGTTTTCAAAACTATTGTACTGTACAGTCAAACAAACCTCTTGCTGTGATGCTGTATTTTAAATATGTTAATTGGATACGTGATTCAATTCCTGATATGGTATGGATACCACCTGTCAGTCAGTACCTAAATAGGTATTTAGTAGCAATTGATGCCAGCTATGATGCCAGTTTTTTTTCATTTTACGAAGGTGTTTATGTGACAGTTTTACCTCATTGTTTTGATGCTAGTGCTGTATTAGATAATGGTAATCCACTTGAGAGAAATGCTAGTAAATGGCATACTTTTCACTGTGATAACATCACTGATTCATGTGGCTATGGTATTTCTGTTCGTATGCAACAACTAGGAACTCGTTTGCTAGAGCATACTGATCCAAGCTGTTCATTTGGTGCAATCATGTTTAACTGGAGATTTCTTAATAAAGGTTATGCTTATCCCGCTGGTTTTGGCATGAGACCCATTGGAGGTAATTCAGATTACTATAATCTAATTCTTGTAATGTGTCATAGTCTTGTATGGCATTCATTCATTATTTGGGTCCTATTTCCTATAGTATCATTTTACAGCATTGAACCTCTTAACTCATCAGCACAAGAGAGTGGTCTAGTATCTGTTACTGTGTATAGGTCTGGTGATGTATCTGAAGCTAGTTCAGTTCAAGTGGGAACATTCATGTCATGTAAGATAGCTAGTCCAACATACTTTAATAAATTTCATTTACTTTTCTTCCTCTGCAGCAAAATCTAATGCAGCAATGAGTGAGAAGCTATATAATATCACATATATTATAATTCGTTTTTATAGTTGGAGAAGATCTGAAGAATCAAACAAAAACTATAAAATTTGCTGCCAATGAATTTTCAGCTACAGTTAATTTTAGTTTTTTGAGTGACTCCATTTCAGAATTAGATGAAGTGTTTTTAGTTGGTTTTCTGAAGAACCAGAACATCAACATTGGGACGCCATCAGAAGTTGAACTAACTATTCTTGGTGTAGACTGTAAGTTTTGATGCTTAATGAATAACAAACATGTACATCACAGTTAAAACTAATATTTTGAGTAAAAGAGAAGGCTTCATATGGTACAACGTAGTCTATTCATATTAGTTTTAAAAGAGATTTTTAAACATGCCAAAATTTTATGGCATTATTTTTTACTTTTTTGTTTGCATTCTATTTTTAGCTAATATTGTAAAATTTACTGCTGATAATTATTGTGTGCACGAGGGCAATGCTTCAGTTTATGTGTGTGTAGAAAAGAATAGAGATACTGTCAATAGTGTTAATCTTGAGATTACAGCTATGGAAGACTCAAAACAATCTGCTGCTGAAGGTAAAGAGTCTTAAATAAAATTGATTTATCTTAAACTTTTGTTATAGATATATTTGATTTTGTTGCTGAAACAAAGACTATTACCTTTCCTGGGTCAAGTACACAAGTTTGTGCTCAATTTCAAATAATACAAGACCCCTTTAGTGACTTTAAAGAACCCATTGAAACATTCTATGTCAACTTCACTGCTACAGGGGATTTAGGTGGTGGTCAAATGACGGCTACTGATAAATCTATTGTAACAATATCTGAAAGTCTGCCAGAAAGTAAGCAATAATGAGATCAATAAGTTAAACTCTCTCATCAATGAGCTTCCTACTGATGCCATTCCTATTCCTTTCTTTGTGTGTAATAATTGTTAGTATGTAATTTGCTTTAATGATATTCAAATTAAAATAAAAATTATGAGTACACATATATAGCATTTCAATTCCTGTTCATAGTTTTTGCTGATAGTATTTCAGGAGCTAATAGTGTTTTTGCACCAGAAAGTCAAGAAAATGTGACTGTTTGTGTTAACAGAACCTTCAATTTTTCATGCACTAGAAACGTTACTTTCAGAGCCATGGACAGTGTATTAAGTATTAATGGTAAGAATTAAGTTGAAATAATAGTATCTTTATTCAGCATTTTTATAGCTAAATCTGGTAGTGACTTTGTTGCAGAGATTATAGAGGTGCCATTCACATCGGATGATCTCAGAGTTTGTGCAACCTTCATGATAATAAATGATGACATTGTTGAAAAGAATGAGTCATTTCTTATTATTGTAATAGCACCAGACCACATACCAACAACATTAAAAATCAAAATTACAATCACTGATGAAGATGATGGTGAGTATTCCATTCATAAAACATTTTTCAAACTGAGGAGTATTGTTAGCATTAAAAGGATTTGATTAAATCATTATTAATTTCTTTTATTTGTGCAGCTGCTGTAATAAGATTTTCAAATGATGCATACACTTTTCCTGAGAATATTGACATGGATGCTCAAGTCTGTGTAGAGACTACAAAAGTGCTTAGTGATGACATTAGTATAAATTTCAGAACAAGGTCTAGTGATGTTAATGGTGCTGCTACTGGTAGGTAGAGAAGTTGTATATATTGTTCATTTGCATGCTGCAGCTTGATATCTTGGCTGGTTTTTTCAAACACATAATATATGTAGTAACTTAAAACATAAGATTTTTTGCCAAACTATCAATTTATAAATTGTCTTTTATTTTTTGTACTTTTTTACAGCTGTTTTAGATTACATTTCTAAATTTGAAACCAAGACACTTAGAAATGGATCAAGAGCAGTTTGTTACAGTATTGAAGTAAAGCCTGATGTTACTAGAGAACCTACAGAATTCTTTTATGTCGAGTTTGAAGTTCTTAATTTAGTTGAACTAATGGACAACAACTACTATGGTTTGTCAAGACTCAATGTATCAAACAGTGAACCAGCAGTTGTGTACATTATGGATACATCTGTAACAGGTTATTATACATACAATTATGTAACAATTAAACCATTGCCTAATATGTTTCATTTCTTTTATTCTTTAGGGTGTGAGTCAGTTTATGCTGACTTGGTTTTTCTAATTTCAGAATCATCGAGTATGCAAAAAAATCAGTTCACAATGGTGAAGGACCTTGCTGGTGCAATATTAAATCAATTACCGATTGGCAAAAATACAACACATGCTGGTATAGTTAGGCTCAGTAATTCAAACCGAACACAAGTTATTTCTCCTCTTGGTAATGTCACTGATTTAAAACAGTTAAAACAAACCGTTAGAAATATTAGTATAGATGATGAAGACAATAGAGGTTTGGCGACTCATCTAAATTATTCAATGAATTTAGCTCTGAATGAAATTAAAAAGAGAGGGAGACCAAATTCAAGGAAAATCATTGTGATAATAACTGATGGTCTTTATTCACATGAACCATCACCTTATGACTTAGCAAGAATGGCTAGATTGCTCAGCTATGATATATTTGTTGTTCATTTTTTTACAAATAGTTCACTTTCTGATTGGGAAAAGCTAACTGGTTATAAAGAACGAGTGCTGTTCTTAAATACATTTAATAGTGATCAGTCAGAAAGAGCAAATTTATTCATAAGTCAGATCTGCAAAAATATTAGTAAGTGATATTTACCAATTAATGCATTGTTTTGAAAAAAATTTCTTAC